TGCCCAGGCTCCCACAGGAATGTCAGGCTATGCCAGGTGTGTGGGTTGTATTGATCAAGCAGACCTCCATCCCTGGATGGAAATGGATCGAGAACCTTCTGGGTCACTTTGAGTCCACCAGGCAGAAAACATTTAGATGGGTTACTAATTCCAACTGAAATCTGATGAACTTAGATGGTGGTATTTGGGGGCAAAGAATTTTTCAATAAATCATCCAGTTGGCTCAGTGACTCAGAAAATGGGGTGGAAGAATTTAACCCAACTTTGTGACAAGAGAACAAATAGAGGAGACTGATGCCTCTCCCAATGAGCTTCAAAAGGTGCTCAAACAACCATTCTTGATTTTACAAGAAAGATGAGGTGGATAGCTGTCCAGCTCTTAAGAACAATCATTGTTTCCTTGTTTTCTGGTTTCTTCCGAGTCCCTATGTTAGATGATTGGAAAAACAGGAAACTAGCTTCATCTGCAGAGTCTTCTCTGGACACTTCTCAGGGTGCCCTGGGCTTCCCTGAGCTTCCCCAACCCCATCCCAAGGTTTACGCTGCTCATTTAGCCTTGAACTAGCAGAGGACAGCACCCAAATCAAAATGCAACCTGTCATATCTAATTTTAATTTTTTAAAAAACGACATTAAAAACCACCACTCTACCCTACCAAGAAACTAAGCCATTATCTTCTGTCCTTAACAACCTGGCTTTTGTTCTTCAAATGCTGCCTAGATACCCAGGGCAATGGAGAGAGTAGGGGAAAGGAAGGTGATTAAGGAGGAGCATCTGCTGACTCTCCCTGGCCAGCCCTGCTTCCTCACCAAGTCAACCGGCCTCCACTGCCATGAGGCCAGGATGAAGGCCAGGCCCGCTCTGGGAGAGCCTGGCCTCGGGTTTTCCGGAGGCCTCCCACAGCATCAGCAACACGACCTGGCTGTTTTCAATTACACAATCTTAATCTTTATTTCTGGCCTGACACAGAGGTCCAGAGGTCCCAGCTGTATTCTGTCGGGCACAACATTTGGGGCTTGTTGGGGGAAACAAAGAACGCGACCAGAGCAGAATGTGGGTCAAGTTGGAGTTCACTGTAAATGCTCCCTTCCTTTCTGCCGCCATGGGGTTTTGCAGGCCTACCCCATTAAGGTCGATTCCCAAAGCCAGCTCTGCTTTTCCCTCTCCCCTAGGTTCCCGCACCCCTTAGCCTCACTCTGAGCCAGCCAAACTCTCAGCTTTTCTACCCAGTGGGCACTGAGTCTTTCATGGGGGGAACTCTGGGGATAAAAGGAGAAAAGGATTTATGGGAGCCACCCCTGCACCCTCACATTTCCCACCTCAGTTGCACAAAAGGGCTGTCTCTCCCTCTGCCAGGACCTGGCCCCTCTCAGAGTCTGAACCATCAGGAAGCTGGTGGCTTCCACTCCTTTGGGGCCAAGTATTTCCAGGGTGTTGAGCCCAACCACCAGCTAGGACCTCAACAAGTGCAGGACAGACAAAGACGCAAACAGTACATCATTACCATGGAAATGGCCTGAGCTGGCGGCTGCTGAAAATGCCGGGAGGGTGGGTTTTCTTTTACTTTTTCTTTTCTTTCTTTCTCTTTCTTTTCTTTTTTTTTTTTCTTTTAGCAAAGGGAGAATAGTTCCGCTTTCTATTTTACGACAACAATAGCACGGACCGGCTCCTTCAAGTATTTCAAAAAGCAGCCTGAGAAATCTCTAACCAGGCCCCTCCGTCTCTCTGGCCTGCCGATGTATTGTTCCTCCCATCCCAGGGAACAAAGGGGCAGGAAGGGTCTAAGGCCCCCAGTTGCTGGCTCTTCTTAGCATCCTAATCCTTGAGAACTGGTGAGGGGAATGGCCTGTGGAGCCGGGAAATCGAATTTTGGCCTTTTATTCCCACCCTCTGCTTATACACATGGGAGCACTTCAGGTATTATAACCTTCTGGTCAGCAGGCCCATAGGAATCTTGGACTTGCTAAGGGGATAAAAGGCACTGAGGGATCATTCCCACATTCACTAACCCCCTGAAAAAAGGGAAGCCTGTAGGAATTGTTTCTTCCCACCACTCCAGGCTGGCTCCATTACAAAGACTGACTGTCCAGCCCCAAGGGGCTGGGCTGGCAGTCTCTTTTTTTATTGGTATCGAAGGAGCTGCCCTCACCCTTCCAGCCCTTCCCCTCTCTGACTCTCTGCCCCTCAGCCAGGGATTGCATTGCCTGCCCCCCTCCCCCAATTCCCCAGCACTAGGTACCAACCAACCTCCATACCAACTTGGGGCTATGGTGCCAGAGCAACCCCCTACACAAGGAAAGCCTCTTGGCCTTGGCTGCTTGTTATCTTTCCAAGGTTACCACCCAGGAATCAAAGGTTTCTTTGCATTACACCTGGGGAATTCGTGCAGGTGAGTTTTTTTGTTTGTTTGTTTTGCTTTGCTTTGTTTTTTTAAGCTTAGTCATCTGGTAAGAGTGGGGGGGAAAATAAGCTTTTACGTTCTGCTGTGTGGAGATCTCCAGGTACAACTCTCCTGAACTAAGTGTTGAGAAGTATGACATCTCCTAGGAGAATCAGATAAGCTGAAGGGTTAAGGCCTTTAGAGGTCACCTACAGTCCAAGTAAGAACACTTTGCACTGCATATACACAAACTCATAACGCACACACACAGTCACACAAGGGACATTTCATGGAATAGTGCAATACGTGTGACGTCATCTGCTATTTTCTATTGTCTTCTATTTCATTTTTAAAAATTCTGGTTGTGACTCATGAATTTCATTTCATGACCCACCAATGGGTTGCAACACAGTTTGCAAAGTGCTGAATCAAGGTTGACCTTGTCGTTTTCATGCTGACAAAACTAGGGGGACAGAGATTTTTCTCAAGATCACACCAGAGCTTGGAACAGAAATCCACGGGGTCTCTCCACTAAAGGAGGGATCTCCATTTCTCTCAGGCTCAGAGGTCCTTTTTGTTTTCCCAAAGTCTTGGGAGCACAAGGCTATTGTGGAGGGAGAGCCCAGAGGTCTGTATTCGTGGCATTCCTGCTAGGGGCTGAAAGGTTCCACTGCCTCAGAAAACCTTACAGTGGGAAGGGTAGCTGGGGCAGTGCGGTTGAGAAAAAGCTTCCAGGTGAGGCACTGTGGCCTCCCAGACATTTTTTTATTTCCTGGTTGGGGTTCCTGCATCATCAGACACTTTCCTGAATTTCTTGTTCCTGGACACACAGCTATAGGGCAGCCTCCTTTAGTAATCCACCTTCTTTGTTTTCTGGCTTTTTCTGATAATCTTTGCAGGTATTTAACCTCTACCAATTCATTTTATTTCTAGCCTCCACTTTCTCACTGTAATTCCTATTTCCTGTCCAAATCACGATCTTACCAATGAGTGTCAGAGAGGCAACTCTGTGAAATTTGTGCTCACAAATACTATCCAAAAAGTTATCCAGATTAGGTCAGGCTTAGAATTGCTGTTTACCAAAAGGCCCAGTGATCAAGATAGAGGCAGTGTATCAAGGCTCTCAGTACAAGTCATCTGGGCAGAACTGCTTCTTTGCTTCCTGAAATTGCCTTGTACTCTTCCATAGAATTTCTTAAAATCTCCATCTAAATTTGCTACTTAGTCAATTGCTAATCTTTTAGAAAAGCCTCTGAAAATGAAGAGCCAAAAGCCACAGTGTGTCCTGGGTAAATAAAGTTCAGCTTTCTGATGGCTTATTAGTTATACACCCTTAGAGAGTATGTAACAAAGGGGCCTGCTGTTTGCTTTGCTTAATCTGGTCTTAAAATCTCTGCTTCTTTGTCAGAAAACAATATTTGCAATTGTAAAAAAAATATTTACCAAGGAACTTGGATAGCATAAGTCAAAGGCTAAGAGCCAAAGGTCAGTAGTTCTTACCCCAAGTTTCTCTGGACCTGAGTCCCTGCTGTGGGGCTCAGCTGCACCAAACAAACAAGCTGCTTTCCGGGTTCATTAAGAAGCAGAGGTTTTAGAAGGGGAAGGAAAGGGAAGGCTGCAGCCTGCTCCTTAGTCCAAAGCATGAACCCTCTGGCCTGCCCCACAAAATTCCTGCTACCTCTTTGCAGTGCAATGTGTCTCCATGGGAATATTGTAGGACTCGCCCTGTTTCAAAAACCTGGGGAAAGTACTCAACTTACAAAATCCTAAAGGGCAGCTATTCCTCCCATCGACAGCAATGCCAGCATGCTCCCCTGGGGTTCGGGCCAGATGTTCACAGTGCATTCTGTGGGGAGGGCCCCCTGCCTGACAGTGGGGGACAGATGTGCATCCGAGCCCTTTGGTGTGGACTGTTTTCAACCTAGAAAGCAGCTTTGGACATCTGGCCCTGTGTGCTCAGTTTGGTGGTGTCTGAATTTGCCTCTCATGTCATTATTTTCTGCAATCTCCAGAAGATCCAGCATCGGGAACCACCCCATAGATCAGTGAGTTCCAGGTTGTGGCCGGGGGGCACTCTACCAAGAGTCATAACTCCACTTCTTCTGAGTCCCAGGCCCATGCCACCAGAGCAGGTCAGCAGGGCCTGGCCCCCAGTTGGGACTAGGGTAAAGAGACCAGAAATGGAATAACCAGAAAGAGGCCAAGGAAGAAGTGCTCGCGGAGCCATGACTAAGAGCCCCACAGGCAGCCAGATCCGATGTTTTGCAGGTCCTCCACACTGGTGTTAGAGGCCTACCACCTGCTTCCTTACTCCATAGGATCTGCGAAGAGGTCTTGGGGTTGGCAGCTCCTAGAGGGGTGCTTTAACCCTCTCATTCTTTGTCACACTCTGTCAGGAAATTCTGCAGTTCTCCCCCAGCCCTACCTCTACCCTCTGTTAAGTTCTTGTTACAATTGCCAATCTCTTTTATCTCGTTAGGATAAATATCATTGGCAAATTCATCTTGGCCTTTGATTCTGTCCTGAAGTAGTTTCTATCAGGAGCATAGTAATTATCACCAGTGATAGGCAGTCCTGAGCATAATCAACTTAAAGAAATGGCTTAATCCAAGGATCTTACCTTGAAGAACCAGGCCTTCCTTCTCGATGGTGTAGGCAAATGAGGTGAAGGGAGCCAGAGGGGACTTGGCGATGAGAATCTGCACATAAAGCATATTTTCCCAGGGTTAGTCAAAGGGGATATCAGAGATAAACCTCTATTCCCTCCCCTTCCCATTTTAAGACTAGGTGGGAACATGTGACTACAAGCCATAAAGTTTATTTTAAAAAATTATTTAAGAACCAAATGAGTGTTATTCCTTCAATTAGTTGGTCATTTTGGAAAGCTATACATTGATCCCAACTATTCTGCCACTGAACGTCGTATTCTTGAGCTGGTTCTTCTAGAAATGTCTCATTATTTTTAAGTCACATGCTTAAACAGCTACCTTTCTGCCCAAAGATAAACCTAGACTGATTTGCTAATCTTATTCATAAATTTAGGTATTTTGCTAAAAAGAAATTCAAAGCTACCCTCAAAGATTAACCCTCATCATAAATATTCAAAACAACTCCAAAAAAGCAAAGCTATGATCATTTGCTTTGTTGGCCCCAACTCTTCACCAAGTCTGTATTCATACTGTTTGCCACGTGACCACATTTCCTCTTACTTAAGGTGTGGCTGTTTCCCATGGTCCTGGACCATGGTTTTGGCCATGTAACTGGCTCTCCTAATAGGTTCTTTGCCTAGGCTTCAAGAAACCTCCCATATCTTCACTTGCTCATATGCTTCCGCTGCCAGAGGAAAAACCTGTCCACGTTAACCTGCTCTCTCAGAAGGAGGCTGAGAGACACCTGGAGCAGTGCCCAGTCTAAAGAGCGGACCTCCAGAAAACCCACGTAACCATTAGTTAAATGCTTATTACTGTATGCCTCTGAGACTTTGGTGTGGTTGTCATGAACCATCATTGCAGCGATAGTTGACTGATACACCAGCCAACACAAAATATCAAAAATATTTTGAGCAGTGGCATTCTCCTAACAAAATACCTATTTTAAAAGGGATAGTCGGGCACCTGGGTGGCTCAACTGGTTGGGCAACTGCCTTTGGCTCAGGTCATGATCCCGGAATCCCGGAATCGAGTCCCACATGTGGCTCCCAGCTCCACAGGGAGTCTGCTTCTCCCCTGGCCTTCTCTCCTCTCATGCTCTCTCTCACTCTCTCTCACATAAATAAATAAAATCTTAAAAAAAAAAAAAAGAAAAGAAAGGGGATAGTCATTTGGTCATTAAAAAAATGATTACCATTAACAACTATTACCATCTTTCATATGGTTCCACAGAACCACAGAACTGGCAGATTATTTTATTATAACAGTTCTCTTGAAGGAGGAGGAAAATCAGTTTCCTGCTTTACAAAGTAACATCATCAAAGATAGTGACAGTTTAGCACACAGTCACTTAGGTAATCAGGAGCAAGAGAGAAGGAAGAAGTACTTTCAAATAACCAAAAGGCTTACATGTAATATCTCAATTTATCGCAGTTCAACAAACATTTACTGACTATCAACTGTGAGAAATGGTGGTATAATGTGGTGGAAAGATCACGGGTTGTAGTCATAGAGTTTGAATCTTGGCTCTTCCACTAATCAGCTTGGTGCCTATGGCAAGGCCCTCATAGCCACTCTCCCTTCTTCTTTTTAGTTAATTAACTCCCCAGGTTTCAATATTTCTTTGCCTCTTTTGCAACTGGGTGTGGCCATGTGATCACACTTTAACTAATAGACCATGAGTATAAGTGACAGGTAGCACTTCCAATATTTTGAAAACTTACGCTTTCATTAAATAATTATGTGCTCTCCACTTTCCCTCTTCCCAAGGGCAGGCAGGGACCAGCTTCTACCCCATGGAGGTGGACATCCTGGGAGACAATGAACCACATGGGAGAAGCATCTGTGCTTCCCACCTGGGGTCACCTGCCCTCTCAAGATAGAGCCACTTGTCTGAATCTCTGAATTCCCAATGTTTTTGCTACTATGGTATACAGAGCCTGAATTCTAACCAATACTGTGACTCTGCACAACCTAATCTTTTGGATTCTCCATTTTCTGTCATGTAAAATGGGGATGACAACACCTACCTAAATGGGATTATCGTGAGGATTAAATTAAATACATAAAACTCCTGTCACGGGGTCAAACTAACAAAAACATTTCCAAACAACTCATTGCGGATGTTTCCCAAATGCTTCCCTTGATTTTCACTCATCAAAAACAAAAATACTTTACTTTTACCAGAAGGATTCAACTCAAGTTAAATCTCAATAATTTTTACTATTGTTCCAAAGTTCTCTAGATAAACTTGCTCGTCATCCTCAGAACCAATGAGTAGATGGTATAGGTGGGTATTTGCATCTTCATGTCAAAAACATCTCCCCTGAAAATTAGACGGAACCTTTCTGACAGAGATAGTTTAGGGATGGTTCAATGTGAACTTTACAGATGCCCCCTTGGTAGGAGAATGGCATAACAGAAGAGAGGCTAGTGCTTCTTGAACTTCAATGTGAGTGTGAATCACCTACAGATCCTGTTGACATGCAGTATCTCATTCAGTAGGTTTTGAGTGGTGCCTGAGAATCTGCATTTCTAGCAAGTTCCTGGGAGATGCTGATGTTGTGCTCCATAGACACATTTTGAGCAGCTGGTTTCCAGGAAATTAGCCTGACTGAAGAAGCCAGAGACAGGAGTCCTGGAGCCAATTAGAAAGCTACTGTGATAACTCAGGGATGAGATGACAAGGGCCTCAACCACAGCTGTGTCACAAAAAATGGGAAAAAAGGAAATGGAGAAAAGAAATATAAACCCTTTAGATCAAAGAGCAATAGAAATAAGCTAAACATATCCAAAACCTCAGATCTTTACTGTCTGCACGAAGCAACTGTACATGAAACCAAAAGGCTATAAATAAATCATAATCAATAAAGTAGCATACTATATTTTTGAAAATTATATTACCATTTTTATTGGATAGACTGCAAAATCCAGGACTCAGGAAAACAAAGGATGTGATATTCCAGTGCAACACAACAAATGGGATCTAAGCCTAAGCCTCCAGCTCGGTGGTGTTACCTCCATCACTTGAATGCTTCTGCTCCCAGCGAGCACATGCTCACCAGGAGGGACCTCACACAGGGAAGGAGCTCCCTTCCAGGGAATCACAGGGTTTGGGCAGGTCATTGATTAATGTCCTGTTCTTCCCGTGCAAGGTTTAAAATGGATAATCAAGAGGATGATTTATATGCAGTTAGAAAGAGGAAGTGATCAGTTATGTCAGATGAATCCCACTTCCTTGTTTTGGAAAGAACTTCCAGATTAATAGAGGAGAGAGCTACCAACAACATGTAGTACCTAATTTTCAGCAAAAAAAAAAAAGTAACAAATTCTCAATATCCTTCTGAATAAAGTGAAGACGGTTGGGCTAGATGCTAATATCATTAAGAGGATTTGTAAGTGACAAGAAGATCGAGAGCAACCTCTCATAGAATGTACTGGATTCTAGCCTTGGTCTTGTCAATGTTCAACATTCTTACTGACCCAGATAAGGACATTAATGTATTCAACCACATCCATACAACAAACATGGGATCCACCAGGAAACAGAACTGACAAAAATTGCTACCGTAATGCAGCTTATAGCCTAAAGGAAGAAAAAGATAATAAACAAAATGAATAGATAGAATATGTGGCATATTAGATCATTATACATGCTGTGGAGTGGAAAAAAAAAAGCAGAGAAAGAATATAGGTCAATTTTAAATAGAGTACTGAGAGACGACTTTACTAAAAAAGATGGCATTTGGACTTGTGGATCATGTAATTAAACCCATTGATGGGATGCTGAATATGGTAACAGAAGACAGAAAGTTTAGGGGTGCCTGGGTGGCCCAGTGGGTTAAGCATCTGCCTTTGGCTCAGGTCCTGATCCCAGGGTCTGGGATAGAGCCCTGTGTATCGACTGCTCTCCCTCTCCCTCTGTCTCACCTCCCCCACTGCCACCGCTCATGCTTGTATGCTCTCTCTCTCTCTCAAGTAAATAAATTAAGTAAAAAAAAAAAAAAAGTTGTTATATTGGATTAGATAACCATAAGATCAAAACAAATCTCAGTTTAGTTAAAAGGTTGGAGCAAATATTTAAGAATGAAATTTTATCAAAACATATGTAAGGCCTTGTCCTTGAGGACAGAAGACCCACTACTGGTTGCAGAATGGGGGACATGAGATTCAGCATTCAGAAAATGGATTATGAATGCTAGTTAACTATAGTTCAGTGTGAGTTGGTTATGCGATGTGGTTCACAAAAATCTAGTGCGGTCTCAGGTTGTATCATCTGGAACAAGAGAAGTGGTGGTCCTTTTCTTCTCATTCAGCAAACCATACTGGGTGCAATATGTTTGGACTGGAGCCTAAATTCCAAAGGGGAAACCGACAAATAAGGGAACAACTGGAGGAGAACCATCAAGTGGTTAAACACACAAAGCAAGCCATGACCACAAACACTTCAACGCAAACATGATGTTAAGAGGTCTGGAGTGAAGGTGTATATTGCTTTTATTTATGGGTTTTCTTTCTTTTTTTCATATGAGTTTTCTGATCTGAAGATTCTGTAGTGTTACATGGTAGAGAGGGGGAGTGTAAATCGCTTTCAAGCCTAACAGATTTCAGAAAAAAAGTGATGCTTGCCAAAAGTGAGTCTTCCCTTTTGAAGACTTGAATGAATATCCCATGCCCTTGTGCCTCTCTGCTTTTTCAAACTACAAATTATCCTTTTCTAAAGCAAACAACCCTCCGTGGTAGATAATTTGGCCTGTTCTATTTCAGATGTTCAGTCAGCCCATAAATTTGGGATGTTCTGATCATTGTCTGACTTGTGCTGTTGTCAAGTATCATCCCACCTTCTTCAGTAATGACCTACGGGGAGGGTCTGGCTGCTTCATAAAACTCTAGGGCCCTAGTGAAAAATTTTTATCATACTCAACCCTGTATACAATGTGTGAAGTTGGTTTTAGAATCCTCTGAGGGTTCACAGAAATATGTAGTTGGGCAAGAATTAGTACAGACCTTGGGGAGAGAAGGCCCAGGGCCCCACAAGGCAGGTGTGTGAT